CTTGAACCCAGGAGATGGAGGTTGCGGTGAGCCGAGATTGTGCCACTGCACTCCAGCCTGGGTAACAAGAGCGAAACTCTGTCAAAAAAAAAAAAAAAACAAAAAAACAAAAAAACCACCACCTTAGGTAGACCCTTAATATACAGAAACTGATTAAAGCTGAGTTTCTCTAATTGAGGCCTCAAGTATAATGCTACCTAGTCGAAATCTGCAACCTAAAGATGAAAAGGTGCTTGAATTTCTTTAATAAACTGACAGGAAATGACAATAATAACAGGTACAATACTTTGAGCATTTTTAATGTGCCAGGCACAGGGATAATTATTTTATCCTGTAAAATCTCATTAATTTAGTTCTATCCATTTTGTAGATTCCTTTTGGCTTAGAAAAGTTAAAGAACCACGGTCAACAACTAATCAGCAGAAAGCCAAAGCTTCAAACCAAGGCTAGCTACTCTAAGGCCCACTGCTTAACCACTGAGCTTTGTGAACTGAACAACTGCTCCACTGCAGGCTGCATAACACTTCTGCCATATTCTGAATAGACTCCTTTAATGTTCTTCTGCACAAAAGCACAGCTAAGATGCGGCAAGCAATGAAAACAGAAAGGCATTGGGGGATACATCAGGCCAAAGGGTTACTCTTTATCCTAGCCATCTATACAATGTAACTAGAAATCTTTTTCTTTATATATCTGTAAGGACATGTAGTGTCAGTCAGTTACTTCTGGTTTTGGTTCCTGTTTTTTATGTTTACATATGTTTAAAATGGAATTATTTTCTGTTCTGTTGCAATTTTTATTTCTTCAACAAACCTGCATGGCAATATAACATAAAAAGGCACGAACTCAAGTTCCTCTGTTCTCCATATCTAAAGCTGTTCGTGCTGAAATTCCTGTTAACTCTGCCTTCCATTTTCCCTCACAGCCCTCAAGTACTGCGTCTCCTGGGAGTATCAACTAGAGGTAAAGAAAGGCATAGTCCAAAAGAAAAACTAAAGGTTTCTTTTTTTTTTTTTTTTTTTTAACGGGAGATTCGCTCTTTTTACCCAGGCTGGAGTGCAATGGCGCGATCTCGGCTCAC